TAGTCTTGCCATCCTTACTTCCAAGGAGCATTCTGGTTGTACTACTTCCAAGACAGATTTGTTCGTTCTTTTTGCAAGTCCATGGTATATTCAATATTCTTCGCCAACACCACAATTCAAAGGCATCATTTCTTCTTTGGTCTTCCTTATTCATTGTCCAGCTTTAGCATGGGTGAGAAATCCACAAAGATATTCACTAAGAGCACTAAGAGCAAATACAAGGACACTTTAGAAAGAGTTGGTTTAAGATGCCAAGGGAGGCCCTGATCCAAGGACAGAAGTAACCCAAAAGGCATCACATTATTTCTGAGAATCAAATCTTAACTATTTTAGACACGGAAGTACCAAGAAGAGCAATTTCATGTCTATGTATCTTAGGATACATAGCTCCCACCCTAAGGGAAGAGAATTTTTTAAATATCAGACCAAAAATTCTTAAGATAAATATCAAGTTTCAGAACAAGATGTTATAAAATAAAATACATATCCAAAAAAAAAAAAAAAAACCAGCCAGAGGGAAAAAAAATCACTTGATTTGTGCTCTCTTTAGGTGTTATTGCTTAACCTATGCTCCACAAAAAAGAAAAGAAACAAGAAGTCCAATTTCAGTAGTCATATTCACAACCATCCCAGCAGGAGCTGGAATAGAACGAAGAAGCCACAAATGAAATGTCTGTGTACCCTGGGAGTAATTGCTCAGTCAAAACGTTCCAAAGGCAGTTTGCCAAATGAAGGGACATACTGGGAGTCCAACAGCTTAAACCAACACTTGCCTACGGTTACTGGCTTTACGCCACACTTGTACCATCCTTCTATCTAAGTTACAGTTGAACAGCTACATCTAAATTAGACACTAGTTTCCCTGTACATTACAAAATACCGTGACTGATGAGAATAATAGGAAAAAGATTTGCAAAATGCACCCCCTGCCTATTTAGAGTGGGAATAGCATGCATGAGGCCAGGCTCCAGCAATGACCATCTTGGCTGAACTTGGACCAATCACTCAGTCTTTCTGGATTCCGTTTCCATCTTCATAAAATTCGTTTAAAAATAATACCTGATTAACCAGCACGTATAAGCAACTTTTCATATATTTACTAGCATGGCTCCCCCTTTATGCAAACTGCCCGCTCACATTTTTGCCTATTTTTCTATTAGGTGGTCTTATGGATTTATAGGAGTTCTTTATATATTCTGTATATTTAACCTCTGTCAGATAAATGCCAGTCTTTCTCCATGTACATGGACTATTTGAGTCTCTTTGGTGAACTGCCTACTGTTTGTCCAGGTTTTCATTATACCACTTCTTTTCCTCATGAATATGTAGGAAAATTAAGTAGATGTTGATCATTTCTTCTGTAAACAAGCTGCTTGTGTCTGTCAATCTGTGGCTTGACTTTGCATTTTGTAGTTATATTTTATTTCTTAAATTGGATGATGCATGCACATATACAATTCTCTACAGCTCTTATGATATTTTAAATATTTGATAATACACTTACAAATAATAAATATTATATGTATAATAATAGTAATGGCAATGATAATAGTACCTGCCCTAACCACCTCATCATTTTAATGATTTAACTTATTTTGTAAACTATAACATATAAACTATGATCAAAAATTTCTCACGTAAGAGTCAGTTACTATATAAGACATCTGATAAATAACTCATTCACAAGCAATCAAAATTCTCACTTAATAATAACCTGAAAATTCTCAGGAATCACCTCCAACATTAATTTATGGCACTCCTATGGGAGAGGAATTCTGCCCAATGATTCCCTGTGGGAACTGTCCCTATAAAAATGCCAGTTCTAATGGATCACACCCTCAATCCTACTAGTTCATGAGGTAAGAGGGGAGTTTTAAGAGCCTATGTTGAACTCCCTGCTGAAAATTGCTACGACTTTCTGGGCTGACTTGCAGAGCACTCATAAACAGATTCTTAGGACTTACCGTCCATTATTAAGATGAAGACAAAATTTATGTCCCATACTTTTATATGGACTTGGCAACATTTTATGCAGTTTTCTATGTAATTTATATCTTTTCCATTTATATAATCCTCTAAAATGATGTGATCCAAATCAACACGGTTCTAAAGACTAGAACTGCAATGACTTAAAAAGACTTCACTACTTAATTTCAAGGAAGTCCATTTTTTTTGTACAATGCCTCCTAAAGCTGACTTATGTCAGAAAACACACTATGCAGCATGATGACTCCCAAAAGATAATCATGTCCAAATCCCCAAACCTGTGAATATGTCGCCTTACAGGGTCAAGGCGACTCTGCCGATGTGATTAAGAACCTTGAGGTGGGGAGGAGCAGCCTGGATTATGCACGTGAAACCAATCTAATCACATGACTCCTTAAAAGAGGACAAGAAGGTATAAAGTCAGCCAGAGAGATGCAACATGAGAAGGATATGACCCGTGTTTGCCAGCTTTCAAGGTGAAGGAAGGGGCCATAAGCCAAGGAATGTGGTGACTGCTAAATGTTGGAAAAGTCAAATAAAAGGATTCCCCCTAGAGCCTCCAAAAACGAATGCAGCCCTGCCAACCCCTTGATTTTTACCCAGTGAGATCCATGTTTGACTTCTGACCCACACACAGAACTCTAAGATAATACATTTATGTTATTTAAGATGCTAAATTTGTGGTAATTTGTTATGGCAACAATAGAAAACTATGCACAGCATTCCCATTGCGAGCAAAACAAATTAGTCAGAAGTGCATACTCCGAAACCTGGCTCCATAGTTGAAATCACAGCTCTGCTACTTGTCAGATGTGTAAACTTAACAGCTATGTAAACAAACAAATTATTAACCTCTCTGTGCCTCAGTTTCCTTGTCTGTAAAACAGGGCTAATGATAGTACCGATCTCATAAGACCACTGAAGGATTACATGACTTAAATCATGTAAAGCACCTAAAACATCACTTCACACATACTAAATACTAAACACACCGTAACTACTACTACTGACCTTAATCAATAATATTTTAACTACCTCTTCTTCATTCACACACAGAAAAATCACAAGATCAATGGTCTTCAAAACAGCCGAGAAAAGCGACCCTTCTAACAAAAGGAAGGTTTGTACACATCTCTACAAGCAGTCTCCATAATGGCCCCCGCTCCATTAAACTACCAGGCCACTCTTCAAGAGTCGTTCCTGATAATGAAGAACAGATTGCCAAAGTCAAAGTGTTTCCATGAGCTCTGCCAAGTGAATAAACGCTAACTACAGGGCCTGACAGAAACAGTGCCCATCAAAAAGTAAGTGCTGCGTTATTAAAAATAATAGATGTAGCAAAATTAGTTTCTACTTAAATGTGCCATAATTGGCATTTGTTCAGCTTATCTGGTATTTATACGGCCCTTTTAACTTCCAAAAAGCCTGCCCTATCATTTCTTCATAAACTATTAGAAACTGTCTTTCACTTAACCACTGACTCATCAACATTTCGGTGAACTGATACAACCAAGCTAAGCAGTGATGGTTCACATTACAGAAGCACAAAGATGTAACAACCGATAATTTCAACAAAAGGCAGAGGTAAAATATACATCAGAAGTACAAACATATTTTCTGCTTAGCAATTGCACAGCTCAACAACTGCTCAAAGCATGTGTCAAACCTCAAAGAACAGCAACATAACATTAGAAAGAAGGAGAAAACAAAGAGGCTAGCATACAACCTTTGTAAAGTGTCATAAGAAGAATATGTATTTAGGGTCTTCTTAAAAATCAGGAACTAGTAGACTGATAAAGGAAAAATCTATTACAAAATAATTTTGATATTTTCCTACAGTAAAAACAACAAACTTCAAGATTTCAAGCCTAAAGAATGCTAAAATAATTTAATTTACATGACATCTTAAAATGTAATTAAATATGCCCCAGCAACAATATATTGTTAAATTCTCAAAAGGAACACTTTCAATTTATTACACAAAATCTACTGATATTCTGAATTATTTTTCTATACCTTTTTCATTACTTCAAGCTTAAGAACTATAGTTAAATTTTTATCTGAAAAGCCAGTGACAATAAATAATACTATTTCTTTAAAAGGCACTGAGGACTTTGGTGGCACCACACGAAGGCCCCTGCGGGCATCCCTCAGAAGACACCCGGTCCCTTCTCAGTACCAAGGCTGCCATGGCAGAGATCTCTTGGCAGAGGCCCACACACTCTCTGAGCCCAGCTGAAGGGGCAGGTTTGAGGAATTCCAGAAGAATTCCCCTAAACCTCTGCATTCTGACTCAAAGGATGTTCTCCCTCCCCATTTTAGCTTAAAATGGCTCTCCTCTGTCTTACTCAACAGGGTATCAGGTGGCCCCTAAGAAGAAACATGACGAGTTTGTGGCTATTTCATCAAAGCGCACCTGTGGGCATGGGGGTGGGGGTGGAGGGGTTATACAAAATTTTTATTTTGTTTTTTCATTTAGATGCTACATTTTTAAAAAATTGTGTAAGCGTATTCTGGATCGCCTGGGTGACCGCCTTATAACCAAAACATGGGGCGGGGGGGGTGGCGGTGGAACACACCACAGGGAGGGACCACCAGAGACACAAAGGAACCAGGATACAGGACAGGACCAGGCACAGACTGTAGCACAGGAGGCATCTGGATGCAAGCTAACAGGAGCAACGGAGGCTACAGCAAACAGAAAAGCACACTCCATCAAAAAAAAGCATTGCAATTTAACTTTTAAAAAACAAATAAAATGCATCTACAGCTGGATTCAGCAGGTAGGCCAGATTAAGGTGCTGGAAGTACTTCATCCCTGATGATGCAACAGGTTCACCATCACTGTGTATCTTATTGCCTCCAAGGGTCCCGCCCTTGGGTAGGAAAGACACCACAGTCTCCCAGGCCTGGCTCAAGACCTCCCACCCAGTCCTGTGGAGTTCCCAACCTAGAAACCTCAAAACTGCAGCACACAAACAAGAAGTTTAGTGGCTGAAGAATTAAATACTTACCACCTGAGCTTCCAGGAGTGGAATACTGCGAAGTATCAAGGAATTTCCGGGGAGTTGGAAGGTTTGTGACGTCAATCAGAGGTCCAGGAGAAGCATCTTTCACGAGGGAGCTGAAGGGAGAAAGCGGCAGCAGTCACCACGTCCTCAACGCCAACCCCGACACCAACTCGAGCTGCACTACGGCCCATCCCTGTGCCCTCTCCTCTTGTCATGAGCCCTCTTCACACCGTGACTTTCAACATCTCTCAAGTCTACTTCCAATAAAGCAGCGACTGTCACAGACAGAGGCCTAAAGCATTCTAAGGTTTCCAAGTATTTAAATTTTTATTTTGTCTTTTTGTTTTGCTGTTCTGTTTTAAAAAAAAATAGGGTAAGTATATTCTGGATCACCTGGATGACTACCTTATAATCAAATTATACCAAGCAATCTCAGTACCCTCCTTTGCTCTGTATCAAAACTAATTTATCAGCAAAGAAAGATCAAATGGCATCAAGTCATAATAACTGAATAAAAGTCTAACAGTATTCAAACCTTATTTAACTAGTGTTTTTCAAGCTGGAGTTTTTGACATATTCTAAGAGTTTGCTACATTTATTTCTCACCAACAGAGGTTCACAAATTTCATCAAGTTGAGAATCACTGCAATAAAAGGTGATTTAAAAAATCTCAAGCAGGTTAACTCAGTATTTGATTACCCGTTTCACCTTTTCCAAAAAGGCCTAGCCCCTCACCTTAATGATTAACTTCAGAATCTCCAAAATAAACGTATTAATTTTAAATGACACAAAGACTATAAAAACAATGAGAATTTCCTGTGAATTTCTGTTTATGAGCACTTGTCAGGCACAAGAATGCAGACAACGCAAAGGGAAAAACCACCTGGGCCCTCCCATCAATGTCGTATTGCACCCACAATAGCAAAGCTGCTCTCAGCCAAGTCCCCAGGGGTAGAGAGGCCAAAGCCATAGCTGTCACCACTTTCCACGTCATCAGTAGCTGCCTCTGGAAGGGATTCTCAAAGTTGGTTGTAAAGGGAGGGCAGGCAAGCGGAAGCAAGAAGAGATCACACCCTAAGAAAGCTTTACCAAAATGAGAGGGAAGGACGTGTGCAATTCCGAAAAACGTCCAATCCCACTGGGTGATACTGATACATCCATATCTCCCTCCCACACTCCTATGGAACCAAGGCGCCAGGATGTGTTTATTTGTAAAGGAATAAAAAATAAACATGCTCTTTCAGAAAACTTTGAAAAACAAACTTTATAGTAAAGGACAAAATTATCATTTAGGGAATTATTTTTACTGAGTGCTGACAATGTGTGAGGCATTGTCCTAGCCCTTGAGGACAATGATGACAGTCATTAACCTATCCTTTCACTTGTTCACTTGTTACAGGGGAGGGGAAATCATTACTCAAGCAATTTTTGTGGAGCAGAGGCTAAGAGCTCGGCTGCTAACCAAAGGATGGCAGTTCAAATCCACCAGCCACTCCCTGGAAACCCTATGGGACAGTACTACTCTGTCCTATAGGGCCGCTATGAGTCGGAGTCAACTCGACGACAACAGGTTTCTTTTGGTTTACTATGTGCTTGGCGCTGTGCTCAGTGTTAACGATGCAAGCAAGACTGAGAGATGAGCTAAACCAAATTTAGCACATTCCTGATTTTTAGAATCATTTGCAGACTAATGTGAAATGTTAAGTATAAGATACAAAAGTAACCAAAACCAAAAAACTAAACCCATTGCCATCAGGTCAATTCCGACTCACAGCAACCCTAAAGGACAGAGTAGAAACAACCCATAGGGTTTCCTCGGCTGTACCCTTTACGGAAGCAGACTGCCACATCTTTCTCCTGTGGAGCAGCTGGCAGGTTCGAGTTAGTGGCCAAGGGCTTAACTGCTATGCCACTAGGGCTCACAAAAGTAACAGAAATAGCATTTACCAGGAACTGAACTGGCATAGTTAGTTCCAACAGCTCTTTTCCTACATTTAAAGCTATAGGTTCCTACTTGCCTATACTATCTTAAGAAAGTCCAATGGAACCATTCTGAGAAAATTCAAATTATTCTCTCTTACTAGTTTGATCACTTTCAGGAGAATGTACCCACAGCTCAGAACCTTGAAATCCAATAATTTGCCACAATAGTTGATCTCCTTAGAAACTCATTAGATCGCAGATTTCTTTTCTTTCATCGTCTATATATTCACAACTTTTGTCTTCTCCTTTCTCCTCTCTCCTATCTCATCTTCGTGGAACACTGGTGGCGCAGTGGTTAAGCACTCAGCTGCTAACCAAAAAGTCGGCAGTCCGAACCCACTGGCTGCTCCATGGGAGAAAGATGTGGCAGTGTGATTCTGTGAAGATTTATGGCCTTGGAAATCCTACGGGGCACTTCTATTCTGTCCTATAGGGTCACTATGAGTCAGAATCGACTCAACAGCAATGGGTTTGGTTTTTTTGATTACCTCATCTTCTTTTACCTTCATTTTACTCACAGTTGTACCTGCTCAACACACCTTCCTAGCCCCTGGATGCACACACCCAAAGAGTCAGAATAATCACTGATGTTCGCAGTGGTGCTACTGAGCAACTACAGTCCCTGGGTTGTGCCTGACTACTAACCTTGAGGTTGGAGATTGAAACCCACCCAGCAGTGCCATGGAAGAAAGACCTGGAGATCTGCTTCTGTAAAGATTTCAGTCAAGAAAATCCTATGGAGGAGTTCTACTCTGTAATAAATGGGGTTGCCATGAGTTGGAGCAGGAAAATTCAGGAACATATTCAGGAATACAGCTAGAATACTGCCTGCCAAAACTATAAATGAAGCAGTACTACTAGTACACATGTGTGCACACCAAAATGTGTATACATGTATTTAAAGTAATACACACTTCTATAAACACAAATGTGCACATGATTCACTTTAGGTTAAAACCTACACTTATTTTCTCAGTTTTCACCTAAAAATATATTTCAGTTAAATACAGGGTGATAAGTCGCTTGCCATTTCTACTTTGAAAAAACATAATCTGCCAACTTTATTATCAGAGCCAGAAGGACCCTCAAACTCCATCAATAAACTTTCAGAAAGTCAATTTACTGCAAAACTATTTTCATAGACTCATTTCTCTATCTCTCTGAAATTTTCCCCTGGGCTTCAATTTTATCCTTTGTGAACACTAACCCAAAGGCAAGTAACTCTGGAAATGACTTTTGGATTTTTTATTTTTTTTTCTTTTATGGATGGATTTAGTCTCAAGAGTTAAAGAGACGGGGGCACACCCACTCATTTAGTTACTAGGAACCTGAAGCTCAACAGAAAAGTAGGTGCTATCATAAAATATCGCATTTACATAGTCTGTATTTAAGTTTCCATTTCTGAAGAGAAAAAAGGGTCTGTTCTCACCATACATCAGAGATAAAGTTGAGAAAGTATTAATTAATTAATACCCTCAAAGGGTTTTGGATCTCTCAGAAAAAGTATTTTTCAAAACTAAAAAAGAAATCAAAATTTAATTGTTCTTTTTCAAGCTTCTAATTAATTGGAAAGCTCTGAACGGCTTTACTTTGAAATAAGTATTGATAGGAGTTATTTTTCTTTTTAAATACCTATGATTACAAATTTTTATTTTAAATCCATTCACAATCATTCACAGCTGAGAGTTGAAAAAGATATTCATAGTGGTTCCTAGTATAAGATCAAACCAAACCAAACCAGTTGCTATTGAGTCGACCCTGATTCATGGTGACCCCTGTGTGTCAGAGGGGAACTGTGCTTCATAGGGTTTTCAATGGCTGATTTTTCAGAAGTATATCACCAGGCCTTTCTTTCAAGCCACCTCTGAATGGATTCGAACTTCTAACCTCTTGGTTAGCAGACAAGGATGTTAATCATTTATACAACCTTACAGTCCTTAGCAAAGATACCAGTTGTGGACGAGTCAATTCTAACCCAAAGACCCTACAGGACGGAGCAGAACTGCTCCACAGGGTTTCTTAGGCTGTAATTTCTATGGAAGCAGATCGCCAGGTCTTTTACCCACAGAATAGCTGGTAGGTTCAAACTGCTGACCTTTCAGTTAGCAGCTGGGTGCTTTAACGACTGCACCACCAGGGCTTCTTTTTTAGTATAAAAACCAAAAACCAAACCTGTTGCCATATAAGATAGGCCCTCAAAATTACTAATTGTATATTGTGAGCGAATGTTGTCTGCTATTTAAAAATCATACAGTAGAGGATAGGAAAACTACAAAGCGAATTAAACTATACCAAAAAGAAATAAGCAACATCTACTACTACCATAGCCCAAGAATTTTCTAGTAGTTAACCATCCATCCAACTAGTAAGGATCTACTTTTAAACGTATTTAATATCAATATCTCAAGCCAGGAAAATAATTACTTTTTTGTTTTGTTTTGTTTGAAAAAGAGCTAACAGCTTATTAGACATGAAGTTTTTAATTAGAACTTTTTTCTGTTCTTTCACTTTGTAATAGATGGGTCTAGCTATGTCCAAAATTTGCAGCTGCAGCTCATCTGGGTGATTTTATTGTCAAACTAAAAATGACAGAAATGAGTTAAACTCTAAGTTGTAAATCTAGTAACTAATATATTCAGCTCTATAACCCTAACAGCTGGCACAGTACCTGTCAAAGAGCAAGTACTCATAAAAGTCTGTTAAATCAAACTGAGCTGAGAAATAACTGTCAAAGATAATATGTCCCGAGTAAGAAAATCTAACTGAATAAATGAAACAGGAATGGCTGGCCTAACAGGAATTCTCCATAGTTCTAAGATCTGGGTGAACACACCAAGAGAATAATGAATGATGTGGAAGGGACAGAAATAAAACAGTCATGGTTTCAAATGATAGATAAAGGGTGAAGACGATGTAATAAAAAATAAAAGTGAAGCTAAAAATCCAAATGAAGAGAAAAAAAACCAACAACAAAGAACTGAAAGACAACAAAAAGAAAACAGACAGATGTAAAAAGACAAAATACTTAGGGAGCAAATATTACAATGGGGTCCAGGGGACTCATCACACATCCAGAGACAAATACGGACACCAAAGACCAGGGGCTTACCAATTTTCTCCTCCACTGAGCTAGAGGATGGCCAAGGAAGCAAGGTCGAATCAAGTATTAACCCAGGATGCATGGAACAAGTGAAAGGACTGACTGTTTTTCTAATAACTTTCCAATGATTTATCTCATTAATAAGGTATTATAGGTTCTATTTTGAAAATACAAAAAAAATAATAAAATAAAGATAATCCACTAACATTATTTTGGTACGTCTTCCTAAGTATTTTACAAAAAGGAATTTCTCTCTCTCTTCCACACACACACACTCACATATAACACACAAAAGAAGATTTACATTTCCCTACTTCATTTTATTATTCCTTACATTTTGCTCATATTTTAGTCAATTTTGTTAAGATCTCTCTCTCTCTCCTCTTCTTATAGCTCCCGATCAACATTTCATAGAAGTGATATGTTTGCTGCATACAACCATAAAATCTCAGTGACATTCAACAATAAGCACATATTTGGTGGTCAGCTGGTCCAGGCTGGGCAGCTGGGCTGATCGTGGCTCTGTTCCACATCTCTCATCCTCCTCTTGCGACCAACACCATCACAGTGATGGCAGAGGCACAACAGGCACACCCAACCAGTCAAGCACATTTCAGGCCCCTCCTTGTGTCACATCTGCTAAGGACTGGCAAAAGCAAGTAACATGGCCAAGCCCAGAAATCAAAAAGCAGGAGATACGCCTCTCCCACTGAAGTGGAGGAGGAAGGAGTGATGATTATTTTGGCCAATAATCTAATCTACCACATTATGTTTCTTACAACTTTGGAGAAATCCTGAGCCTAAGTCTCCTAAATTTTTATCTTTCTTTATAATGTTTTTTCTCAAATACATGTTCTTCTGACATCTCCAGGTAATACTCATATCCCCATATGCAACAGAATATTTACGTAGGACCCGCAGTGATTATTGTTTCTCCTGGCATGGAAAGAAATCTACCTGGACCTACTTTTTACCACCAGGCACTGTGGAAGGAACGTCCCCAGCACTGCCCCCACCATCACTTGACTCTCTGCTGAGGTACTGACAGTTACTCTATTCAGATGCAGCCATGAAGTTAAGGCTCAGGTACACAATCCCTAGCTCAATTTGTGTGCCTGGGAAAAGTTTTCTAGAGAAGACAAGTAGGAGCTTCCTTTTTTCTTTCAGTGTCTCTGACTAAACTGAAGCATCACGCACAAAGTTGGCATTTTTCCTGCCAGCCGTATAGGGCATGAAAGACTTCATTCCCAGCATGCACTGTGTCCGGTGCTCTTCTTGTCTACAGCTGGATGGAAAAGTCTGAGCACACGTATTTCAGTAGATAATGCTAAAATGCTCTCTGGAAAGATCTTATAGCTATTTTAAAGTCATGTTAGAAGGACATATCTCCCACACAGCTATCTGATGTATGTTAATAACTCCAATGTTCCACTATCTTAATATGTAGTCTTATTCCCTACCAGGTTTACACTAACCTAATGAATTTCTTGAGCCCGCCTAGGCCCTTAAATAGAGGGCTATGCTGCAACCAGCCCAGGGGTAAAAGAAAAGTGTTCTCTCTGAACCTCTCAGACTATTCCAGAAAGTAGACTGCCTAAAGCTGAACACAACTTGAAGTAACAAAGAATCTTATAACTTTAGTTCATATGTCTATAATTCTTAGTTAGGCTGACTTCACTGTTCAAATTTAAGGATTTCTACTTCCTTCTGAGATATACCAGAGTATGTCTGATCTGGTCCATAAGAGGCCCAGAGAAATGTTTCTTATAGATTTCCTTATATGGGGGACCAAAATAAAGGTCCAATGAATGCAAGAACAAACTCTGAATGTTGGTCCTTCAGAACATGGAGTGTTTTCTATCATAAAACCATCTTCAAGTTTCAGAGACAGTACATTAAAAGGAAAAATAAAATAAACTACAATGACATTCTGGAAAACAAAGAACACTACACTCCCACAAGGCACTGTAGCAAAGAGCCTCCTGAGCCCACCTCCATCTCCCTTTTTCCTTGTTACGCTGCACAACTCGACCGGTGGACTTGATGTACAGGTGCCGGTGCAGCTCGTCGATGAGAACCAGGTGTAGGTTCATCTTCTTGCTGTGAAGCTCCAGCCTGAGGTCACTGAGTCCTTCCACCTGGAGCAGGGGTCCCTCCAAAGACTCGACCGCTGACACCTGGAAAGGGACAAACAATTAAACAGGACAACTGAATAACATCGCAGGATTGTAAATGAGGAAAGAAGAATACTTTTAAAAAAGGTGCTATGAAAAAGGGGTTATGAGAAGCTTATCAGCATACACCAGACTTTGTAGAGCATCACGTGGGTAGGCCTAGTCCTGCCCTTGAAGGGTTTATCATTTAATTTTTTTTTTTAATTTTTTTATTTTTGTAGTTTAAATGAAGTTTACATTTCAAGTTAGTCTCCCACACAAAAATTTATACATACATTGTTATGTGACCCCAATTGCTCTCCCCATGGGTTTATCATTTTAGATAGCGCTGAAGACAACGATCTTGACAAAGGCATATGAAGCAGCGAAAACCAGGCTGTACCTACTATTTGTTCCCACATACATTGCCTATTAATGGACACATGTACAGTGACTTCCCCATTCAATGATTATGTCATTCATGTTCTCGCAAGCATTCCACCTACTAATGCTTTGAATCTATAGTTAATCAAAGTTAGCCTTTTAGGACTAATACTAAATAGAAGCATATTATATTAGATAAATTTAATAAGAATAATTTATTCTTATGGTGCTCATGAGTCAGAGCTGGCTAAGTCTCTGTGTGCATCTACATACAGCCAGCCTCTCTCTCCCTCTTTCTCATATACACATACACACAGAGGAAAATGCATTTTTACATGAATGCTACGAGCAGACAATGCAGTCAGCACCTCTCCTCAGTCTGATCTAGTGTACAGAAGAAAAGGACATTTTAGTGGCGAACAGAAGACAAACTATGGAGAGGGAGATACTCCTGCTATAAAGTGCAATTCGGGAGATTTTAAACACAAGAAGGACTGGATGAATGAAATTGCTGTGAGAATGTCTACAATAAATAGAGAAGATGAGGGGATTCAGGCAGCCTGGAGGAGCTTTGAAACTCAAAGTGATTACTGCAAAGGAAGACAAAAGCCAGCATGTATATGACCCCATTTACCCATGTCTATAAAATTACATTTATGTGTGTCTATATGGTATGACCCCACTTAGCCATGTCTGTAAGATTGTATTTATGTGTCTATATGTATAAGGAGCCCGGGTGGCACAGTTCAGCTGCTAACCAAAGGCCAGCAGTTTGAATCCACCAGATGCTCCTTGGAAACTCTGTGGGGCAGTTCTACTCTGTCCTATAGGGTCGCTATGAGTTAGAATAGACTCACGGCAATGGATTTGGTTTTTTTATTTTAATGTATAAAGACCATGTATATTTTTTAATGAAAAAAATTTAAGGTAAACATCATACTCTGGGTATTAATCCTTCCAAAAAAATGAAACCCATTGCTGTCAAGTCGTTTCCAACTCAAAGCGACCCTACAGGACAGTAGAACTGCCCCATAGAGTTTCCAAGGAGCGCCTGGTGGATTCAAACTGCCAACCTTTTTGGTAAGCAGCCGTAGCACTTAACCGGTACGCCACCAGGGTTTCCATTATTCCTTAGGAGATTTTTTTAAAGGAGGGGGGGGCGGAAATACAAAGAATGTTAAAAAAAACAGTAGAGAAAAGATGACGAGAAGCTGAACTCAAGAGTTTTGGAAACGAGCACTACCAAGCTCTCAGTAGAGGTAAATGTTCTGTGACTATCCCCTGCGTAGGTTAGACTTCTAAGTAGTCCTGATATGTGCAAATTAAGTCAATAACTAATAATACTTACTTCACAGTAAAACCATTAAATGCAACTATGAATATAAAGATGCTCCTAAAAAATAAAAGCATGTATACGATAGATAACAAAAGCCATGAAACATACAGACCAAGAGCAGTATAAGCAGGACTCCAAGAGCTGGGGGACAGAGAATCAGAAAGCTCCATAGCTGTACAAACCAGCCTGAGATGGTTAGGAAAATGCAATCACTTGCCCACAAACACATCACTTGCTTTGTGATGTGCTATAATCAAATGTCAGCAGCAAACAAGTTTCCTTAAGTTAACCAAAAAAGAATGGAGGAATGGAAGAGTGACAAGCCCTGGGCCAGCTCTGCCCTCTGAAGCCTGCCAGTTCATTTTCACACTGACTGGCAACTGCCCCAGCGACGGGAGCCCCTGGACCTTGTGCCGGCTGCCAGCAATTCCAAATGGAAAGGCAGCCACACAAAATGACCGACGTGTCCCCAAGGAGGAAAAAACAACAACTCATTTACACTTCCATCCTAAAATGGATTTTAACTCAGGTCTCTAGCACAGAAAAGAGGATGCATTAACCTTCAGTGACACCGAGATCCAGAAAATGAAAAATAATTTGGTAAACCACTGGTCCATCATGTAGCCTTATCCCTTAAGGTAATTAAATCCAGCTGAGATATTTAAGCTTAAAAACCATCCACTGCGCCTCCACACTCGATTTGTTTGTAGGAACCTGCATGAAGATTTTTAACCCCAACAGCTCATGTTCCAAACACAGAATTATATGACAATGTCAACTTGCAAACCCCCTAATTAAATAAGAAAAAACGCAGGTAAAGCACTTAGCATGCCTGACACACGGTGAGTGCTCACTGAAATTATTCTGTGGATAAAGAAAGCCCAGAACCTGTTTCCAACATAGTTTAATGCAACATTTTCTGTAAAGTGATGTTTCTTTCATGGAAACACTGTAACCATTTAGACCACAAACTTTCTGAATATGCTTCCTTGACCCAAAATACAAGCTTACATATATATATGTGTGTATATACATACATATAATCAAGGGTAGTCTTACAATGTGAAAGACTTGAAAACCTCAACTCAAAAGAGAATAGTCTCTCATTTCTAAAGAAAACAGTGCTTTATTTTTTGGCCTTCACTTATCAAAGTCTATTTATAAAACTATAGCAGTCGAAGCTAGGCAAGATTGTCTTCCTCTACTGTAACCTCACCAAGTGATACTCAAACCAACGTGAAGAAAACAGTTGTCAATGCAACACTGGATCTCTAGAAGGATCAGTTTAGAAACGTGATGTTTGTCTTATCTGAGTAGCTTGTACCAGAGTTCACACACTCAGGGAAGCTTGATGATGCAGCATAAGTTGACGCAACAGACCATCACTGGTGGCCAATTCTGTTGTACTGGGCGGGGGGAGGGGGAGGTTCCAGGTATTTACTAACATCGGGGCTTTAAAAAACAGAAAGGGGGAAAAAAAGTTGCTTTCCAGTCAATTCTGACTCATGGCAACATCATGTGTGTCAGAGTAGAACTGTGCTCCATGGGGCTGTCAGTAGCTGTGACCCTCTGGAAGTAGATTGCCAGGACCTTCTTCCAAGATTCCTCCGTGTGGAGTCAAACCACCAACCTTTCAGTTAGTAGCCAAGGGCTTAATCGTTTGCACCTACCCAGGGACTCTTATCTGAGCTTTAACAAATGTGCATAACCAATAATAAAAACACTAATAAAGGGAGTTTTTTTAAATGCATGGGAAATGGTTCATTTATAAATCATTTTGCTGTTTTCCAAATTTAATGCCCACAGAGCACTTTCCACATAACACACGGATGAAGAATCAACAGGCATGTAGTTGGATTATGTAGACAGCAAGAAAATGGTCTCACAGATTGTTAGTTGCTATAAGAAATTACCAAAATTTGGTTCAGAAGTGTGCCAAGCAACACTGAATAATGTCACAAATACATATAACAAGTACAGGACAAGACACAACAGATGAAAGACCCAAGAGCCAACATATGATGGGTCAGTTCTTGGTAAATGCTATCTGTGCATCTGTCACAGATCAAACACCAGCCGCTCAGGCCCTAAGTGATCTCAAATAGGACTGCCCAGGATTCTCAGGTATGCCACGTCATTTCTTATAGGCAGAGTGCGACCTAATGAGAAGAACCAATTAAATGTATTTGCAATTTTTCTTGTACATATTTTAAAAAACAGATTTGGGGGAAGTACTACCAGTAAGGACTTTTTTCACAGAGCCCCTGTTACCATCTAACAAAGCATTGGTGTTCCACTCGACACCCTTGGAAACTGCTGCTACAGATAATAGGAATCTGAGAGATGAAAACAAATATTTCCTTTAGGATTATGAAGATAACCAAACATTTTCAAAACGTTTTAGTACATGATACTGAGCAGGACAGCATGTTTTGTTACTAGAAACCTGTCCACCTAGGAACACAAAAACTCAAAAAAATGTTTTTGTGGCTCAAAAAAAAAAAGGTCAAAGGGACACTAAAATGTACATAATCAAGAACTGTATGGTTCTTCAAAGAATTTTGCCTTTAGTTGAGAGGTAAGTCTACAACAAAGGGAAATCTTTGTAATTCAGGAACTATGGTATCCTTAAATTTTCTTTCCTAAATATCTATTTCCCAATGCTATTTCAGTGTAAAATACAGGAAACTAATCTTCATCGAGAATGAGCCCTGGTGACGCAGTGGTTAAAGCACTCGGCTGCTAAACAGAAGGTCAGCAGTTTGAACCCACCAGCCGCTCCTCGGGAGAACAATGTGACAGTCTGCTTCTGTAAAGACTACAGCATTGACAAACCTATGGGGCAGTTCTATGTCCTGTAAGGTAGCTATGAGTTGAAGTCGACTTGCCAGCAATGGGTTTGGTTTCGATTTTTGTTATTCTTCAACGAAGCAGCCCTGGTGGCACAGTGGTTATAACCGAAAAGTCGCAGTTCAAACCCACCAGCCGCACCTCGGGAGAAAGATGTGGCAGTCTGCTTCTGAAAAGACTGCAGCCTTGGAAACCCTATGGAGCAGTTCTACTCTGCCCTGTAGGGTCACTGGCAGTCGGAATCTACTCGAAGGCACACGACAACAACATTCTTCAGTAGTTAAACATTTGTCTTCTGCCCGCCTGACTCAAGCTTATTAGGTAAAAAGATACAGCTTTGTGCTTTGACATGAACCAGTGGAAACATTCCAGAGGAACACCAAAGTCATCCATTCTCAGTTGCTTCATGGGAGATATGCTGTAAAAGAAACTGCTTTTTTTTCCCCCCACTGGG